TTTAGCTAGAACTTTTATTTAAATTTTTGAAAAAAAAAAACGTTTACTCCTGATCTCTTGTTGATAACATTTTTTTTTTTTCAAACGGTTAGAACTTACAGTGCATTCAATTATCTCACAAAAATTATTCGATAAAATCGATATTTATGATTCGATATTATACTGATATCGAAACCTAAGGCCGATGTTGATAAGGATTATGAAAACTTGCTCGAAATCGCAACAACCTTAAGTCTAGTTAATGTTTACAATATGGAGATCAAGCAATAGCTGATTCAGGGAAAAACATGAACTTGAAAAAAAAAATCAGACAAATTTATGTCATAGTAATAATAATTAATAAAAAATTTTGAAGCATTTTATCCATCTTAACAGCAGCTGTAGATCTTGTATTACTTCAAGAGATGATCAGTTATAACGATACAAGTGAAATATAATTTATTATTCATATACGGATGTATAGTCAACTTTTTTTAAAAGTAATTTAGCTTATAGACATTTATTTATGAAGAATTTATTAATTTTTTCCAAAGTAGCAATCGTGCAGAGATTCGAACTAATGATCTTTTGATTTCATCGCCCGCCAGCATTAACACTGGCCCAAATTTCGTTATTATAACAAGATAAATCAAGTTGTTCGGAAATTTATATAATTTAATATTTATGTTTATAATTTCTTCAAATAATTCTTTCTATAACTATGCCGTCGTAAACTATACCGTTTCCCATTAGTTAGTCTATCACATAAAATAATTAAAAATAATAATAATTAAATTCAAGTATTTAAGTACTTATTTTCTCTATTTATAAGCAATTTAATTTAATTAATTATATACATTATACACAAAAATTGCATTTTATTTTATTTTTATGTATATCAAGCTCGGATTTCCTGTATCTAACAGGTTTAATATATAACCACCGGCAGTATGTTTTTTCTTATTTAATAAATTGTTATTGCAGTTTGACAGCTCTTATAAAATATTTAATACACCCGTTTATAAAATATGAGTTATAGTAATCAGTAATGAAATTTTATTTTTGTTTAGTCCTTTTATTTATTTTTACTCCTCCTCAAACTCTCCCGCCTCTTTAAAACTGGTGCTCTTGTCAAATGCCCAATCTATATATATATATATATATATATATATATATATATATATATATATATATATATATATATATCATTAATTTTATGCACAATTTTTTTAATTTATTTATTTAGAATTATAACAATCTGTCACGTTAGACAATTATGTTCTATTTATTTATTTGTTATTTATAGAAATTCATAGATATATTTATACAGGAAAAATTAATCTGTTAATTAATTAACAATTAGAGATGGGTAAAGAGTCGACTGATCAATTATATGGACGAAAAAAAATGTTAAGGACTTTCAAACAAGATATTTCATTATTAGATTAGACGACGTTTCGAACCACACACGTGGGTCATCGTCAGGGCTATCTTTTGGACACGAAGAACTTTGAGTTCTGGTCTCGACTTCTAAACGATATCCCTAAAGATGACCCACCTGTTTGGGTCAAAACGTCGGCTAACCTAATAATAAAAATATCTTGACTAAAACTACTGAAAATTTCGTTTCATCTAATTAACTATTAAAAACAATAAAACTTCTTGTAATATATTTTTCTTTATGACTGGTCCAGATTATTAGTATCACAAGTATAGTTTATATAATATTATTTTTAATGATAGATTGATAAGTAAGCTGATAAATGTAGCAGCCCGATGTATACTTATCAATATAACCTAAAAGGTAAATGCAGCCCGTCGACAGATCATCATTATTATTATTTAAGATCATTATTTATTCATTATTTAAACAACCTTCCAAAATTTGTATTTACCTCAGGATCATTACATTCGATTTTATCAGATACTGATAAATTGCAAATTGTTATTAAAAAAATATGAGCTTATGAGCAAAAATATCAACAACAAAAATATTGAATCAATGCAATGACTATTGAGGAATAGTGACCTAATATCAGGGCTTTCTAAAATAGTCATTGATCCCTTGTCTTGTTTCCAAAATATCAGTTGCAAAATCCCTATGAAAATTAGACAATAATGCGCCAGGAACAACACGCAATAGAAAGGGTGACCCATTTTTTTGGGCTATGGTTTTTGAAACATTTCCCCTAATTTTGATCTTGACATTTTCGACTTAATTATGTAAGGCAGCCGTGAGAAATAATAATAATAATAATAGAGCGAATATTTTCTATCCTGAGTGGTCCATTCCATTTCAGTCAATTGTAAAGATTTTTTTTATAACTATATCCACCTGCCGATTCTTAAACTGAAATTTATTTATATTAGTCCGTGAAATATTTAGTGAATAAATACAGTTATTCGGTCTTAAGTCTACCCATGTTTATCAATAATATAATATACAAATTATTATCACAAAATAAAAGGTATTCAATTATTTTCGCAATTTATTTGCTAAAAATTGAGTTTCATATAAATAAATAAAGTTTATAAATAAGGCGTGAATATGAGAAAAGGGTGTTCTTATCCGAAGTTCGACCTTGCGCCATTTACATTCTAAAAACCTCCTGAGCTTATAAGATATATAAATATCATTCCCAAGTATATTAAAATGTAAATTAAAAAAAATCCAGTTCGTTTATTTCGAAACTCCAATAATATGTCTTTATTACTTTCGCTTACCTATAGAAGAACCATAAAGGGAGAGTACTGCATGAAAAATGCGAATCATAGTTTTTAAGTTAAATCCACATTTTGATTCCCCTTGAGTCCAAATGACCAAGTTTTACAAAATTACTATGGATCTGTTTATATATGTGAACAGACCAGTCCAAAAACAAAACGTACAAAATTGTAATTATGAATTTAAGATAAGTATGTGGCTGGACTGTTTCAACAACTGTTTTGTAAAAACCGCTTAACCGAAAGTGAAATTTTATATTTTAACAATTATTATAATTTTCTTGGAATTGTCTCCGATGATTTTGACCAAATCCGCTAAATCAATGTAAAATGAATTGGTCTCTAATATCAGGCAAGTATTATCCTCATTGAAATGGTCCGACAGGGCTTAAATTTCATTTTGTTTATTTAAAATAATTGACAATTACACTTTTTTTTTCTAACGCCTCTTTGATTTATTGATTTCCTTCATTAGTCTCCTAGCCGCTACGGTGCTGTTCCCGGCGACAGCTGTAAACTTTTGGCTCTCGTATACTCGTATAGGTATCCATGGAGCACATAGTTTATAATAACCGGACGCGATCACTAATCACTCCCTCTTCATTAAAATAGTTGTCAACCCTTTTGCAGACTTCTCCATCCTATTATTTTTTTACGGGGCAGGGTTAATGACCCTGTGTCCAACCCCTGATCTGGTGGATCTGGAGCTATGTTGTTGGAAGACACAGGAGTCGCTCACCTTCCTGTGAATCTCAGAGTGGGAACGTTACGGTCCCCATGCGGGAATCGAACCCGCGCCGTAGTGGTCTAACCAATTGAGTAGGAACTGTGCTTATTTATTTTAATAAGCCTTGTAACTTATAATAAAAAAAATTATTAAAAATAATCAATGAATCTGTACCACTACAACCCATCAAGGGTCTTGGGTTCGGTACTTTGTGAAGAAGTACTTTTTCAAGCCTAACGGTCGTGCGGGAGGTGGTTATTCTATATCACGCTCAACCGCCAGGTTTTCCCCTTTAAATAATTATTTAATTGTTATAGATTTTTTTTGCCCCAGGAGTCACTTGACTCTGATGTAACATAATAAATAATTACCTGCGATCAGCAGGATTCGAACCCATGAACTTGAACATACGAAGACAATGCTTTACCCACTGAGCTACCCTGGTCCCTTAATAAACTATGATAAATTAAGCGATACATAAGGAGTATTCTGATGAGCTAACCAACCCAAACTTGCTCGAGGGTGGCCAAGTCACGGGCGGATCTTCGAGGAGTGGAGGAAGGAAGGCCTAGTTAGTTTCTTTCTTTTTCTTCCAAAATAATTATCGTTATATTAAAAAAAAAAAAATAAAAAATAAGGTGTGTGCTTTAGACCACACGGTAGAAGAGAAAACATCAACAAGTCGAGATTAATAATATGAAATATGAATTTTGATTAATAGGCCATTATGGAGAGGACAAAATATCCCTCGCTTACAGAATGCAGGTCCGATGTTTAGTTTCTGATATATTTTAGTCCATATCTTTATTAAAATTCGTTATAATTTGGTTTTCGGCAATATTATTTTCTTTTCAACTCCCTAACACGGCATCGCGTTAGTATACAATTTTGCATAATAGGTTATTAAAAAGATGATGAAATGATGAACATTTCCCTCGCTAGCTATATGCAGGTCCGATTTTGAGTTTTCGAGATATTTTAATCCCTAAGAAAAAATACTTTAGTTCGTCGACTCCAGCCGCCTTTACCCCGAGCGTTACACATCGGAGATCTAACGGTGAAATCTAATTCACTCTCCACAAAAAAGGTGCAAAGCGCGCCTAAAGAAGTTTTCACATAAAAAAAAAAGTTTTCGGGCTGAAGTCCCCCCCCCCACAAAAAAAAGATGAAATTCTGGATCCGCTAGTGGGCCAAGTTACGATTGCTCCAGAACGTAACATGTGCTTATTATGCTATATCATTGGGGAGGAATGTAGGAGCTCTGATAGTATTGTATATGAGTGGCTTTTATATATGTAGTTTTTGTATTAAATAATATTTAATTATTTATGTGACATCATGTTTGCACATCTATCATGGATATGGCATATATTACGTTATATTTAATATAAAATATATAGATTAAATATTTTTTGTTATGAAGGTGAGACTACAATTACACGAGAATTTTATAAATGTATTATTTATTTAATGATATGACTTCTTTTTATTTTATAACAACTTATTGAATTTAAAAATTGTATTACCTTTTATTAATAGCTTACTTGATTTTTTGTATTTTTCTGTGCAGATAATGAACTGCAACTGCCCGGTGACGCAGCCGGGGCCGACCCTGGCATCGACATGCGGCGGTTCAGCTTTCATGCTCTTCATGGGCCTTCTCGAGGTATTCATCAGGAGCCAGTGCGACCTGGAAGACCCCTGTGGTCGCCCGGAGTCCCGATCTGTACCTGATAGGGAGTACGACTTCATCGTTGTCGGAGGAGGAAGCGCGGGCTGCGTAGTGGCCAGTAGATTGTCTGAGGTGCCTCACTGGAGGGTACTTCTGGTGGAAGCTGGTAATAACGAACCAACTGGTACCCAGATCCCCTCCATGTTCTTCAACTTCGTTGGATCCTCAATTGACTGGAATTACAAGACAGAACCGGAGGAGATGGCTTGTCTTAATGAGGATAATCGCCAGTGCACATGGCCTAGAGGCAAGGTAAGGAAAGAACCAGGAGTTATGAATATTATTTATATATTTTATGAATTATTTACTTTTTTTCCTTACTTGGTAATCTCACTATGGAGACCAATTGATTCACCTTAATGCTCCACGTCTTATATTTCATGAAATATTACAACACACAAGTAATCAGTATTTTAACAAAATTTGAATATAAAATTAGAAAATAAAAAAGTAATAAATGAAAAAGGTATGACTAAATAATTTTTTTTTTAAAACCAAGCGAACAAACCCAGCAAGAAATTCACTACGCTTCCCATCCCTTATTTTGGATGGTTTTTATGAGTAAATATTACAATTTTTGAAAACTATTCTACGGTTCTTCACAGTGGTGCTCATCCCCCCTCCGCAACAACCCACCCCCTCCCCTCCTCTTTCAAGATATCTTAGTGCTAATTTTTTCTTAAAAACAGAGGAATGGAATGTAGAATTAGAAAAACTGTAAATCATACATAATTACACTAATTGCAGTGTGTTCCATGTTTTCTCCTTGCCCCTTATTCCGAAATTGTTCATTACGAAAATTCATGACCCCGTTAAAATGTACCCCCTCAAAACTGTTGATGCGCCATAAAATCCCCTTTTGGGTACCCTTGCTTCTTCAAATCGTGTATGACGGAAAGATCATTTGGTACAATTAACCCTGTGATGGCAGACAACCCCTCAACTAAGATGGCCTTGCCTTCATCTCGTCTCATCCATTCTCGTCTATTAGCTAAACGTAAATGCCATTAGAAAGCACGAATGCGAGGTTATTCTTTGAGGTTATAGCTTAAGAGGGCACATAATAAATATAGTAAAAATTATTTGAAGAAGATGTCTAGGAAATCAGTTTGAAAAAAAAAATCAAATAATCATTCATTATTTATTCAATACCAACGTCTGTAAATCTCCGAAATAGTTAATTATTTTAACTAGTGTCATTTATTAAGCAGATAGATAGATAGAATCGACAAAGACGCAATAGAGCTGCGTGCAGAAAACTGGAAAGAAATAGCCCAAGACAGGCAAAAACGGAGCAGCCCTGTTGAGGCGGTAAAAGATCAACAAGGTATTAATTTTTTTAAAGATTTTTCCGCTATTTTTACTAGACCAAACAAAAAGAACTAAAATATTAAAAGGCGGCCAAAATCTAGAATTTTTTTACTACCTTAACTATGAAATTGACGTCAACTAATCTAAAACACGACTTATTTATAATACTTTTTTTCCAGAGATTCAATTAAAAATGGTCTCCAAGTGGTAAGATAAATCTAGCAACTACTTTCAGCCATATTCTTTAAATATATTGCCAATAAATATATAATGTTTAATGTAAATACTTAGACTTTTTCAGTGATTCGTTGTTTAACTTTGAGATAATTTTCTACTGGTCAAAATTAATGAAATATTTATTCATTACATGGGAAAAGGTATTTCCTTTATGACCTGCATATATATATATATTAGTGTTGCCCAAAATAGGTCTTGATCTTGCACTTAGCAAGAAAGAGACCAAGACCGCCTAATTGTTGCAAGATCAAGACGAAGGCTGGCCGAAAAAAAATCGTTTTTCTGAATAATAATTAAGGCAAATAGTTCATAATACTTGACAATTTTAGTTACTATATGTAAATAATTGGTTTAACCAATATACTTTTGCATTTAATTCTTCCAATTTTTCATTCGGGCTTAGTTAGATTTCCCCTATCTGAAAAAATACAGTAATAACTCTATAATAATAAGCTAATAGGTAACTGTAAGACTCTTGCGCAAGATCAATACCAAGACTAAGACTGAATGTGCAGTCTCGCATTTGAGCAACACTAATATATATATATATATATATATATATATATATATATGCTAAGCGTTTGAGTTTCACAATTCTTCAATAATTTATTTTAGTTTTTAGTTTTTCAATTTTTACAACGTAGACCTTGTCCTCTAACTTTGCACATCAGCTGCACTGGTGGCCTTCCATTGATTCGTTTCAACATGAAATAGTGTTTCGAATTTCTTCACTAGACCAATCTGCAACGTCTTCAAGGCTCAGTTCACGATTCTGGCCTTCTCACGCTTCTTAGCAACATCGTGTTCTTCTTACTCTCATTCCTTTTGTTCTCTCCCATTCAATGTTCTCTTCGATACAATTTGCCATATTTCGTTTAACTTATCACCGTACAAATCACTGTTGTAAGAAGTGTTAATCCAACTTTCTGATACCATGTATGTGGCTATACACTCACATTTATTTTTATTTTTGTTTAGCTTAAAGATAACCATAAAATCTATTATAAAGAAAACAAAGTGCCAATGACTTATACCATATACCGAAGTTTTCTATTTAAATATAAAATCCATAAAAAAATAATTTAATTAAATAAAAGGTACTACTGAAGATTGCATAAATCAAAATAAATTTTATAAAATAAACCAAAAGATATTTGTATATATCTAATAATTTATAACAATATCCAGACTCCACAAAAAAATGATTTGAACAGACATTTACATTTATTAAAGAAAATTTGAGATCCACTCATACTTTAGATCGCCAACCAAAATGTTGGGCATGAGCTATAGGCAGACAGTTTCATTGTTCTATCAAAAGGAGAAGTAATTTATTCTCTATACAAACTACATTTTCCAAAATAAATAATACGTAGTTCTACCATTTAGAGACGCTCTGCTAGAGAACGTAACAAGTCTTATTTGTTATATATATATTTATTATCTTTCTCTTGTCACATACTTACATTCAGTAGCTGAAGTACATGTCTAATAATTTATAAAGAGTACGTATTTTGATTTTTAGTATTTAGTATTTAAATTAGATCACTCACTTAAAAAAATATGGACCAATGAAAAAAATATAATATTTTTCAATTTTGGGGGGCTTCAGACCAAAACCCCCCTCCCATTGTGGATCCGCCAATGCCTACAATTTGGGTACAGAAGCTCACCTCTCAACTTCAAAATCCATCGATAATCCTTGGATTGCAAGTTGTGCGGCAAAGTGCACGGTCCCAATGTTCTTGTAGTCGCACATTAGAAAGATCTGAGTAGATAAACTCTCAGAAACAATGTTCCGTTTCATTGATTCCTCGAAGTGAACGATCCATATTTGATCTAGAAGTTTAATCAACTGAGAGTTACAGTAAGGGAGATTCTCTCAATATCTGGGATAATCACTGAGCTTATCCTAGAATAAATAATTCCATTTTTCATAACAGAATGTTTAATTTTCGATTATCTTAAGAGAAAGTACACACAACACATACATTTTGTGTATGTTGGTACATACTTCAGTGTAAAACCATTTTTTTTTTTATTTACTTGTAATGGCCGAATTAAATGTAACGACATTTTAAATAAAAATCACAAAATAGTTCTTACCAAAATCGATAAAGAAATAAGTAGTCAATAGATAATATTGAAGTCAGTAAGATCATATACGTAATTCGAGAAGCGGCATTGAAATCACCAGGCGTGAGATTTTAACTGTATCGTAAAAATAACATACTCCAATACACAATACTTCACGCTCTAAACTTAACTTAGAATAAACTTTAAGTTCTAGGATGACTTAATACGTCCCATAAAGTTAAGAATAGTGTTAAAAATAAAGCAGTTATATAAATAAATTTATGAGTTTGTACTTTGAAAATTAATTTAATCTTTCGTATTAAGTTGTTATATTATTAATAGATTTAATCATTATCTATTCTATACATTATATATATATATATATATATATATATATATATATATATATATATATATAATGTATAGAATAGATAATGAATTGGTCATCTAAAAACCATATACCGAAGTAATATAATATATATATATATATATATATATATATATATATATATATAAACTTTTGTTGAAACATCGTCAATATCTAGTATCTTTATTACTCAAGTTATAAATATTTAACGGAAAAAATTACTTCTGAATTAAAAAAAACAAACAATCTGACAGTTTGAAACATAATTTGCACCAATTACTCTGAATAATTTGTATCTAAAAGCGTTATTGTTCCTGTAAATACCTTTAAAAATAGCAACAATAATAGCTAGTTAATTGAATTATAGCAGGCAGAGGACATTAACTTATTAAAAAATTAGTGACATCGCAAAGTTAAAAACTTAAAAAAAAATTCATTTTTAACATTTTTTAAGAACATTTTTGATTTTTTATAAAATAAAATTCCTAAGGAACTTTCTTTTAATAAAGTTCTAGGTATATTGTATAAGTTTCACTTTTTATTATTTGTGGTATTAAAAAAAAAAGATAAGTTAAATGAGAAATAAACAACAGTGGGCTTAGATAACAAATATAATTCATCTTAAACAAAAAGTTGGTTGGGAATTGCAGTCTTTAGAAGTAGTCATAACATAACCGACATTTCGGCCAAAGTTTCAGGACTTCATCAGGGCTAAGTAAAGACCAGATAATAAACAAATAATTAGATATATTAGAATAATATGTAAACATTTATATAAATATAAATATAAAATTTATTGACTAGTATATGTAAGTAGTTAAACATAACATTACTAAATAATAAATGAAAAAATATGATATATAAATGTAGAAAGTTATAAAGTAACCTTAAACAATAATAAAATAGCGGTAACAACTAAGGGGACTATGAAATAACGGTAACAAAGTTTGGAATCTAAAAAATAACTGTAGAAACTATTATTTTAGAAAAATAACTTAAGAAGTTATAAAACAATGGTAAACAAGTTATAAATGATAAAAAAACGGTAGAATAAAATAAACAAAGAAATGGGAAATGAAATAATAAAGAAATGAAATGGAATATTAACTAATATAAATAAACCGGAGGAGTAAGTAGTGAAATAAAATAAATACGAAATGGTAGTTACTACAAATTGACGTAATATGTTCGGAGGAAATGAAATAAACATAAAATAATAATGAAAAACAAAGAAATGGAATATTAAGTTACATAAATTAAC